ACATCCTAGTCAAATTGCTATGTATTGCTAGGAAAGTGCTCAAAATGGTAAGCAGAATTTGTAGGAATTTTATATGATTGAGGCACTCGTGGCGTTGAAAAATGTCCTTGATTGCAAGCTGTCATATTTTTTGTGATGTGTGGAATAGAACTTGCGGGTATAGGTTCTGGAGTGATTGGCATATTCTCCTCAATGATGACTCTTAAGTTTACGAACTTAGAACTCTCCCAAATGAAGACAAAGAACTCACTTATATTTCTTCAATTTTCTTTCTTCATATCAAACAAGGATTACAATAGCCATTTATATAGGCTTCAAAATAAAAACGTTTAGGCATACCAATAGTCACAAATTAAACTTCTATTTTAGTGCCATAAAGATAAATATCATAAATGAGTAAGTTTCTCTTATTCTTCAATAACCTATGTCTCTTCCCCTTCTAAACTTATGACCTTGCACTTCTCAAACTTATGCTATTAACCTCATTTATTCTAACATTTTAATTTGATATTCCAACACGCTCCTTCTAATTAAAATGTCTTTATGCCAATCCTGTCTCTTAGCCTCATGAAAGTTTCACCTAATAATGGCTTGGTGATTATGTCTGCTACGTGTTCAGTGGTGTGATAATGCTTCAGTTCAACGGTTTTCTGCTTTACATGGTCTCTGAGAAAATGAAACCGTGTATCTATATGTTTGCTCCTCCCATGATGTACTGGGTCCTTTGCAAGCTGGATGGCTAATTTGTTGTCCACAAAAATTACGGTCGAGTCTTCCTGTGGATGATCCAACTCCTTTAATATGTTTCGCAACCAAATTGCTTCACATACTGTAGATGCAGCCGCCACATACTCTGCTTCACATGAAGATAAAGCTACAACTCCTTGCTTCTTTGAGGTCCATGAAAATGCAGTTGACCCAAGATAGAAGACATAGCCTGTGGTGCTTTTTCTCTCATCTTGATCACCTCCCCGGTCACTATCTGAGTTTTCATCATATGCATAGAAGAGACTCATTCGGCAAGCTTCTTTGAGGTCCATGAAAATGCAGTTGAGTGTGCCTTTGATATACCTCAGTATCCTCTTTGCAGCTAGCCAGTGAGACTCATTCGGTGTCTCCATATAGCGACTCACAAGTCCGACTCCATAAGTAATATCGGACCTTGTGATCATCAAGTATCTCAGGCTGCTAACTAGACTTTTGAAAAGAGTTGAATCCACAAAACGTCCATCTCTTTCTCTTTATAGCTTCATTTTGATGGCTACTGGGGTGTTCACAGGGTTGCATTCATTCATCTTGAACTTCTCTAATATCTCCTTCATGTACTTCTTCTGGGATATAAAAACCCCCTCTTGTTGCTTCTTCACTTTAATGCCAAGAAAATAGGACATCAATCCATTGTCCGTCATCTCAAATTCATTGAACATTGCCATCTTGAATTTAGCAAACATCTCGGTACTGCTTCCTGTGTACAATAAACCATTAACATAAAGACAAATCATTAGAAATTTGCCTTTATGGTTCCTCTTCATGTAGATGGCGTGTTCATAGGGATATTTAATGAAGCCGTTTTGATGAAGATGGCTATTAATTCGGGCGTTCTATGCCAGTGGTGCCTGCTTTAATCCATTCTTCAAATGGTACACTTTGTCTTCTTGCCCTTTCACAAGAAAGCCTTCTGGTTGTTGCACGTACACCTCTTCCTCAAGAACGCTATTGAGGAATGCTGACTTGACATCCAAATGATATATATTCCACCTGTGATGAGCTGCAAGTGAAATTAATAGTCTCATCATATCCAGTCGAGCAATCGGAGCAAAGACTTCTTCATAGTCGATGTCATACTTTTGTTTGTAACCTTTCGCTACAAGCCTTGCCTTGTACCGATCAACTTCACCATTTATTGTGCGCTTGATCTTGTACACCCACTTGACCCCTATTGACTTGTGATTTTGTGGAAGAGTTGTCAACTCCCAAGTGTCATTCTTTTGGATGGCGTGGATCTCCTCCTCCATTGCTGTTCGCCAACAATCTTCTTTTACAGCTTCTTGAAAGGTGATAGGTTCATGATTAGCATATAAGCAGAAGAGATTTGACTCTTCATCTTCTTCTATATGCTCATAGATCTCCCTGAGACTTCTCATTTTGATGGGACCTCGTTGCACAGTAGATCCGCTGCTACTACCTTCCCCAGAAGATAAAGAACCTCTTAAAGGAGAGGGTGTAGAGCGTGGAGGAGATGGTGGTGTAGCTAGTGATGGTTCCTCATGTAGAGACTCATCAGGTTCATTCACCACGGGTTGATCTTCATTGCTCCAGTTCCATGCTTCTTCTTCATTAAAGACAATGTCTCTACTAACAACTAGTTTCTTGGTTAGTGGATTGTAGAGCTTGTTTGCCTTCGACTCCTCGCTATATCCGATGCAAATACATTTTTCATCACGATTGTCAAGCTTCTTCCTTTTGACTTTAGGTACTTGAGCATATGCAACACAACCAAAAATTCGTAGGTGTGCCACACTAGGCGTGTAACCGCTCCATGCCTCTTGAGGTGTCTTGTTCTTCACTATCTTTGTGGGGCATTGGTTGAGCAAATAAGCTGAGCATGCCACGGCTTCTGCCCAGAACTGCTTTGGCAATCCCTTTTCTTTGAGCATGGTTCTTGTCATGTCGAGGATGGTCCGGTTCTTTCTTTCTGCAATGTCATTTTGCTGTGGTGTGTAGGCAGTAGTAAACTGTCTCTTTATACCTTGCTCCCTGCAATATTCTTGAAATAGATTTGAGGTGTACTCACCACCTCGGTCAGATCGAAGAATTTTTAGCTTGTGCCCGCTCTCTGCTTCAACTAAAACTTCAAAATGCTTGAATGTAGTAAAGGCATCAGATTTTTCTTTAAGAGTGTACACCCACAACTTTCTGCTGAAGTCATTAATGAATGTTATAAAATATCTATTACCTCCCAAAGAGACGGGATTGATCGGTCTGTAGATGTTAGTGTGAACAAGTTGCAATGGTGTCTTTGCTCTCCATGATTTTCCATTGGGAAAAGGAAGTCGTGGTTGCTTGCCAATTACACAAACTTCACAAATATGATTTGATGGATCAACTGTTGGTAGACCTCGTACCATGCCAGCTGTAGACAGTAACTTCAAACCGCTGAAGTTTAGATGGCCGAAGTGAAGATGCCACCTCCATGACTCATTCTCCATGAGTCCTTGAAAACACTTGTCGACTTTCGTGTTTAGATGCAAGGGAAACATGCGGTTCCTTGTCATCTTAACAGAAGCTATGAGGCCTCTATTTGTATTTTTCAACCAAAGATGGTTGTTCTCCATATATACTTTGTATCCCTTTGCGAGTAATTGACCGATGCTAAGAATATTACTTTTCATGTTAGGAATATAGTAAACATCGGAAATATACTCGGGCTTACCATCCTTTTGGTAGATTTTAATCTTCCCTTTGCCTTCAACCGGGAGTTTTGAAGAATCTCTGAGGCTCACACTTCCATGAACTCCTTCTGTGAGTTCCATGAAAAGTTCTTTCTTCTCACACATGTGGTTGCTATCACCCGAGTCAAGGTACCAAGCATCATTCTCAATACTTGAATCATCATTAGCAAGAAAAAGCATAGAGTTGTTACCCACATCATTTGTTGATTCGGCAAAATTGGTTTGGTTTTCAGTTTTGTGCCAACAATTTAAAGTATAGTGTCCAAACTTGTGACAGTTATAGCACTAAACATTCTTGTTGCTTCTACGCCCAGGTGTGGATCTTCCATGATTGCTTCGTCCTCATCCTCTAAAGATTTTGGTCTCCACTTGATTTTGAGTGATTTACTGTTGGGGACCACATCCCCTGCCTCTACCACGACCACGACCACGACCTCTTCCTTGTGAGCCTTGAGTACTTAGAGTCAATGTTGACTCTAGTACTTGCTCCAAAACTCTAGAACTAGCCTTCTTTTGTATTCGTTGTTCATAAACTTGAAGAGATCCCAAGAGCTCCTCTATTAAGATCTCCTCCAAATTCTTTGACTCCTCAATTGTCGCCACCACGTGCTCGAATTTTGGTGTGAGGGATCGGAGCAACTTCTCCATCACTCGGATGTCCTCCATCTTCTCTCTATTTCTCCTCATTTTATTCATAATTAGAAGTAATCGTGAATAATAATCGGAGATTTTTTCTTCATTTTTTATTTGAGCAGCTTCAAGATCACTCCTCAAAGTTTGGAGGTGAATTCGCTTCACCCGCTCGACACCTTTGCAGATGGTAGCAAGGATTTCCCATGCTTCCTTGCTCATTGTTGCTTCGGCAACTCTCTCAAAGGTAGACTCGTCCAACCCTTGATAGAGTAGAAAACGAGCATTGCTATCCTTCTTTTTTTGCTCTCTGAGAGCCTTCTTCTCTTTGGTGGTATAGGTGGCTTCTACTTCTGGTGTAGGTTCCGTGAACCCATCAATGATCAGCTCCCACAACTCTTGAGAACCAAATAAGGCTCTCATTTGGATTGACCAACTATCATAGTTATCTTTTAATAATTTGGGCACTTGAGGATTGATAAGATTATTTGTGGTAGCCATGAGAAGAAGAGAGAATGGGAAAATTGGATCAAGTGACTCTGATACCACTGATGAGTCTTTAGTTTACGAACTTAGAACTCTCTCAAATGAAGACAAAGAACTCACTTATATTTCTTTAATTTTCTGTCTTCATATCAAACAAGGATTACAATAGCCCTTTATATAGGCTTCAAAATAAAAACGTCTAGGCATACCAATAGTCACAAATTAAACTCCTATTTTAATGTCATAAAGATAAATATCATAAATGAGTAAGTTACTCTTTTTTTTTGTTAATGAACTTAAATTTTATTCATTTCCCAAATTAAAACATTTTGAAGAACATCAAAGAATAAGGAAACCTGGAAACTCAAAAAAGAAGATTATAAGCTCTCAAGTATCTCTTTCATATGTACATGTATATCCTCATTTTGAACCTTTGAAAAAACTACAAATTTGATGTCTCTAAAAATCTGAACAGGTTGTCTTTCTTTAGCATGAAAAATTCTCTGATTCCTCTCTTTCCAAATCATATAAACTGCAATGGAGAGACACATCCTTTTCAATTTCTGCATAGGGCCTTAACCTCTCAAATTATGAGAGTACCAGTTCAAGATCAATCTCCAAACACAAGACCTCCATCTATATCTCAACCAGTCCATTAGCATATTCTAGATTTCAACTAAAAATTGGCACTCAAAAAAAACATGGTCCCTTGTCTCCAACTGATGACCATTACATAAAACACACTGAATCTGATTTGTGCTCAAAATACCCATTCGGCACAATCTATCCTTGGTGAGAAGTCTTGCATGACAAGCTAGCCATAATAGAAAAGAATGCTTAGGATATAGGAAGCCATCCCAAATAGTTTTTGCCCATGCAACTTCCACTAGTAGAATAATGAATATTCTCGACGGATTATTGCCGACGGAAAATTTTCCGTCTAGAATAATTTATTCTAGACGGAAAATTTCCGTCGAAGAAATTTCGTCTAGAATATTATATTCTAGACGGAAATTTTCGTCTGTAATAATATTGCAGACGGAAATTTTTTTTAAATTTTTTTTTGAAATTTCCGTCTGTAATAGTATTGCAGACAGAAATTACGGTCTAGGATATTAGGTTCAGTTTATATAACTTAAAACCCGCAACATGAGCCCTAAATCCCCAAATCTTGCAATATTCTCTCGCCCTAAATCTTCCTCCCAAAATTGGCCATCTTCCCCCATTTCTCAGCCTACTCCTCCTCCAATCGTCGATCTCGATCAAAGCCTTGACCACGAGCACGAGATCGCTCGAGCACGAGATCGCCGCCCCTCTATCAGATCCCCGACCACGAAGCCTCGCTCGAGCACGAGATCGCCGCCCCCTCTCAGATCCCCGACCGAGCAGCTCACAGCACCGACGGCGAGACTTCTCCGGCGTTCGTGACCCCAGACCGAGCAGCTCACAGCACCGACGGCGAGACCCCCTCTCAGATCCCCGACCGAGCAGCTCACAGCACCGACGACGAAGGTCTTCTCCGGCGCTCGTGACCCCCTTCTCCGGCGTTCGTGACCCCAGATTTGAAGTGAAACACCGCCTCCTCTATTTCCCTCTCAGCGGTATTATCCCGCCTCCCCCATTTCCCTCTCCAAAATCCACAACTCTCTTCTTCCTAAATCCACAAGTTCACAATGCACAACAATATGTTCTGTGTTGTTTAAATTCATAGTTTCTTGATTAATTTTCAGAGAGAGAGAGAGAGAGAGAGGGGCAGGCTAGAAATGCTTTAATTTGTGGGTAATTAAAAAAAAAGGCCAATAAAAGATGCTCGAAAAAGATGCAACCTTTGTTTTGAATTTGAGATCTAAAAACAAATTTATGTCATATATAATATAATTGTTAGCGTCAAATGAGTTAGTTATTAACCATATCTCAAAACTTGGAATCTAAATATAACATTTTAGGTGTAGAAATGTTTATAAGGTTTACCATAAGTTTGTATAGATACATGAGAATGGAGTTCTCATCATGTTTAATTTATGTATTTCTTGTTTGATTTTCTCTAGAAACAAATCAATATGTTCTGTGTTGTTTAAATTCATAGTTTCTCTTTCTGAGATTTGTTTCTTTATGCTAGGTAGAAACTCTAGGTGCTATGTTTCATTTGAGAGAAAAATGGCAGTTATAGCAATTATTATAAATGACACATCATAACTAATATACATTTATTCTCAATGTTCATGTAGATTTTCCTCGATATGTTTTTTCTTATTGAAGTTGAAGTTGGTATGTTGAATAACATTGAACTCCATGTATGGATCAGAAACATATATAATATCGAACTGTAATCAAACGAACGACATACATAATCATTTATGTTCACCCTTTGCAAGAACATATCATGGTGCCATGTTTCAAGTTTTAAGCTTAAAGGTGTCACTTCTCCTGACCTCATATTCATGCGACTCCAAAGCTGGTTTCATTCTACTAACGCATCATGGTATTTTGTTATTGTTTGTACTTATGTTCTCTATTTGGGATCCATAAAATGATGACTTATGTAACATCTAGAGGGGGAAAATGGTAAGTCAAGGATCAAGTTAAAACTTTTTATATCCTACTTCTTATTGTAGGCGTATAAAACTGCTTATAGGTCCCTTGACACAGCTCGGCGCGATGATTCGACAAATCGA